CCCCCCCCCCCCCCCCCCCCCCCCCCCCCCCCCCCCCCCCCCCCACCCGCTTATTCAGCGGCCGGCTGAGTCGTTGTGAAATTTACGGCCCGATTTATAAATGTTTAACCCCCACCCCTTGAAAAAATCTGCGTACGCGCCTGCCAATACTTACATGCTACATGATCAACTTTTTCTGATCCATTACACACCTTTTCTTTCACAATGCAATCGCATGACCAGAACTCAACTTGATTAATATTGGCTTTACTTTACCTTTACCTGAGATTCTGGAAGATGGCTGTGTTCTCAGCAGTCGGGCTTCCAGTTCAATTTCGTGTTTCTTCCTTCTCGTAGTTGGATTCATACAAAATAAAGGAGGGTGCATGTTTACCCCCCTTTTTTGGTCCTCCTATTACCCCCCCCCCCCCCATGTACAAGGGCCGGTCGATCTAGGGTCGTCAAGGGGGGGGTGGGGTCGTTTTAAAAATATTTTGTGGCATCATTATCTCCCCGAAAAATGATTTTCAAACTTCATCTGCTCTCCGCTATACTCACTCAGCCCAAGAGGGCTGGGGAATGGGGAGGGGTATGATACAAAAATAAAAAAATTCTCTTATTCTTGAAAAAGAGGCAGCGCCCCTTCAACTTCCTGAATCGTCGACATAAAGTAAAATCGTGTAACACCTGGCTCGAATTCTTGACGTTGATATTGTCGGCATTTATAGAGGTATACAAAACGCTTTGGAGAATGTTATTCTAGCAAGAATGGTATCGGTGCAATAGTGGTATTACCTTATATACGACCAGGAATTGAGAGGGGGGGGGGCACCCTGGTCTCTTCGATGGCTTAAAAAATCAGATTAACAAAGCCGTTGGTGGGGTGTGGTGGGGTCGTTTTTATCATGTCTCCTCTCACTTTCTTCCTGTTCTCTCTCCTTTACTCCTTTCTTCTCTTTATTTTTCTTTCTTCGCCATCTGATTTTGGCGAACGCCCCTGTGTCTTACGTAGCACCACCCCTGATGGTAATGAAGAAGGGGTAGTGATTTTTTTTTATTTTTCGCTAAAAGCACTGAAATTCCAGAGCTCCAGTTTTCCATGTTTCTGTGCTTGAGATATAATGTATGTTAGCCGTCCAATTTCCTTGATCTTACACTTTCTTGTTATATTGAGTTTAAACATATTTACTTGTTTATGACTGCCATAAACAACTGTAGGCCTTATAATAATATCCTGTGAAAAAAAAAAATCATATTCTCAAAATTAATTGACAGCGGCATATTTCTTAGCAATTAACTTGTGATAAATCATCCATTCTTATCTTTGTGACCTGGATAGTTTACTCATAAAATAAAAGTTAAATATGACTTAATATTTCAACGATAATGAGGGTACCGCGCTTAACTTGGTAACCCACTTCAGGAATAAAATGAGAATATTATGATTTAAAGCTAAACTTGAGTTCTGATAATCATGATATTGATGGAATTCGATTTCGATGAAAATAATTAAAAAAAGCTGTAATAGATCATGCACTATATGGCTGCTCGAACCAGTATCATGCAATAGATAAACTATAATTAAGATTAATAAAAAATGATAATGACATCATATTTTTTCCAAGCGTGGTACTATTATTACCCCGGCATTAGCCGAGCTATCCTGAAATGATAAAGCGCTCTGGCATTCCATGAATTCCTTCCTACCTGGTTTACCCTATTTACATCACCTGGATAGAGAGTGGCAAATGTAGATTAATGTCTTGCCAAAGGACATTAGTGCCGCGGCGGGACTCGAACCATGAGCCACGTATCGACTTGACCACGACACAACAACATTTGATTCTCATGGAAAATCTCTTTTCCCTCATTCCCGAAACTCGAGAATCCCTTTAACATGGACACCGGCTTCTTTTTGGATGAATTAACTATCAACATATTTCATTATTCTACTTTAGATTATTGATACTTTATTCCTAAAAATTGAACTCGAACTTAAACGTAGGCAATCATTGGGAATAATAAACGACCAAAACCTTATTTATCCTGTCAATATCAGCCAAGGCCTTATCTCACCCGTGTCCCATTAACGGCATGAAAAGGCGCTTTTAATAGTGCAAGGTCCAACATTTATTTATTCACTTATTCATTCATTCATTTAGATTGTTATTCCACAAAATTAATCGAGTTTATAACAAAAACAAATTCACACTGATTCGAAAAGATGAAAACAAAGAGAACAATGACACAATGAGAACTAAAATAACAAATGTAAAGAAATTTGTAAGGGTTTACTGAGAAGCTAATCTTGTAGCTGGTAACATGTAGCCCCCCTGATTGTTCCAAAATTGCTGTGATTATATTACATGATTTAGCTAAGCAAAATAAAAAATAAAAATAAAATAAAACAACAAACAACATATAATTAATTAATATATAATGTACAGAATATATATATGTCAGAATGCAATATAAATTTTTTAACAAGTGGTATTAATCAGTTAAGGGTGGCTTCTTTGAATGTTTTATCTAATGAACTTCAAATATTTGGTCCTGTGAAAAATATTTTTGCTGGAAAAAACGTTCTGCTTTTTGGCAAGTGATAATCATGTAATTGTCTAGTGTTGTATTTATGTATACTATTATCTTTTATAAACTTCTTCTTCAAGTCAAAAGGTATATTATTTCTGTCAAGATTGTACATAGATTGATGTAACTGTAATCGATACAAAAGTCACTTAACTTAAGAATTAACTACAATGGAATCCACATACTATATTTTGTCATCTAAAACGCCAGGTGCTGATTGCCAGGTACATATTAAATATTCTATAACTTTTATAGAATATGAGTGTATAATTATAATACAAATACTACTACTACTACTACTGCTGCTACTACTACTACTACTACTACTACTACTACTACTACTACTACTACTACTACTACTACTATTCTACAACTACTTCTGATAATATTAGTTACATATATTTATATTGCACCCGTATCCGTCTAAGGGGATGGCAATGGCGCCTACAAAGTAGTATCATTATCCTGGCTTTAGCTCAGCTGCCCTAAGGCGCTAAAAGCACTCAAGAAATAGATTCTTACCAGGGCCCTGTCTAACAAAGAGTTGATATTAATCGCAACTTATTTGCGATTGATATCAATCGCAACTATGTACAAAAGAGATAGGAGACTGCAAACTTGCGATTGATTGAAGGACTTGCGATTGATTTGGATCAATCGTAACTCTTTGTAAGACAGGGCCCAGGTATCCCTTACTTCACCTAATTGTAACTGCGTAATTGAGAAAAATTTAAACAGAGGAAACTTATGGCGGCCTGACAGACTGTTGGAAATGAATTTGATTATAATAATGTAGTTGACTATAAATTAGTATTAATAGAAAGTTACGTTATGTTTAATAATGTTCCATATTATCTAAAATGCATTAATGGACAATAAATCATATACTTATTAATTAATCGGAATATAATATGGATGTCCTCCTTGTTCATTTAGTTCATTTACGGGGGGGGGGGCAGGGTCACTTACCACCACCCTTGCAAAATAAGATATATTATTACAATTTATGTACAATAATACAGACCCTAATCGTGCTGCACCAATACAAACGTATTCTCGTGGTGTATCTCTCGTCTACCTGGAGACCCCCTTTTGTCTTCTCTCTCCGGCTCCCTCTCCCTCCTCTCCCCCCCCTCTCTCTCTCTCTCTGCTCATCAGCGGTTTTTGAGACATGTGTCCTCCCCTCCTGGTCAAAGACTCCTGGATACGCCACTACATAAAGTTTGCTGACTCCAGCTCTCACATATCAAGAGACACCGATAGATAGATGTCACTTGAAAAGCGAAGTACTCGAGTGAAGTATCCAAGAAAATGCGAAGCTACTAGTACTATTGATCCAACACTTGAAATAGAACATTTTTGTTTTATCCGAGAATTTGAAAGAGATGTTCTTGACACACATCTCCTCTTACTACAGGGCTAATTTTTCTTTTTATCATTATAATATGGTTTCACTCACCGCTGGCTATTTGCGAAAAAAAGTAAGGTAGACACGGGAAGATGTATAAGGTGGGCTAGTAGTAATATAGTGGCGTAAATACAAGTGACACGGGAGCATGTGCTACCCTATTGAATGGTGGAGGGAGGGGGCGGGGCGGTTACCATCCACTTTTCTACTTTGCGTCTCTCCCTCCCCCGTTTTGTCTGTTCCTTTATTGGCACCATTTTTTTGGCCATCAATTAGGGTTCGTTGGGGCACGTGCCCGCTGTAGCCTTGGTCCTGGTTTAAACCCTGTATTCACGGCTAGAATAGCTCACCTCTATACATTACTATCAGTTATTAATATTATCCATAAGTTGACTACTGTGACTTTATAAAATGATTTTATTGCTTTAAAGTCCATCACCAGTTAAGTTCAATGTCGATACGTTCTCCTGTCAAAACCGTGTACGTGCAGTAAGGCCCCGTGGTGATAATGCCACAGTTATCACTTTTTAAACCAAAAGCTCAAATAAAAAACAGATCAATACATGTCATCTACTCTATCATTGTCTTAATTGGTATACATTTAATTACATTCTGGTTATTAAATTTTGATTCATTTTTCTGTCAATCACCTTTCTATAGCCGCTGAATCTCCGTTGCAACCGGTGTTCACTTGTATCAAGCTCGGGCCAGCTCCTCAACAGCGGCGCCGGAGCCGACATCGACAACGCCGACTGCGTCCTTCGGATGAACAGCGCCCCGGTCAGGGGCTACGAGGAGGACGTCGGCCTCCACACCGACGTCCGGGTCATAGGTGAGACGATAACTTGTCCTTATATGCAGGGGCGTACGCAGGATTTTTTCAAGGGGGGGGGGGGGGGGGGGGGGGGGGGTAAGCGGACACTTTTTTTTTTTTTTTTCGAGTCCAAAAAAAATCGCAACGACTCAGCCAGCCGAAAAGTCGGGGGGGGGGGGGGGGGGGGGGGGGGTAAGCGAACACTTTTTTTTTTTTTTTTTTGGTCTCGAAATTTGAAAATTTGACATTTTTTCTTCATTGGGGGGGGGGTAAGGTCACCTTTTTAGGTTAGCCGTGTGCATATAATTTTTTTCTTTTTTCTTTTTTTAAATAATAAAAAAAAAAAAAAAAAAAAAAAAAAACCAAAGGGGGGGGGGGGTTTAGGTTTTTTTAGGGGGGTTTACACACATAAAAATACCAAAGGGGGGGGGGGGGTTGAACCCTCCAAACCCCCCCCTGCGTACGTCCCTGCTTATATGTCATGGTTTTTGCAAACACAAGCGTTTGTTTTCCGGGTTTACAAGATAAAGATCGTCTAAACGTCTAATCACCAATGATACTAATTGTGTATAAGGTCATTACAGTGCTTATTATATTACTCCTGCTCACTAAGGTGTGCACCTACTCCCTTGGTCATCGTTATGCAGTGGCGTACGCAGGATTTTTTCATGGAGGGGGGTAAATCAGGCCGAAAATTTCGCTACGACTCAGCCAGCCGCTGAATAAGCAGGGGGGGGGGGGGTAAGAGCATTTATTGGGGTCACCCTTTGGAAGAAAAAAAATTTGTTATTTCTTTTTTCATATATTTTTTTTATTATAACAAAAAAATGAGAGGGGGGGTTCATCAAAAATCACACACATACACACAAATTGAGAGGGGTTCAACCCCCCGTAGCGTACGCGCCTGCCGTTATGTCAGGTGCGGATCCAGGATTTTCGGAAAGGAGGAGCCGCCAATTTTTATTTGATTTCGAAAATTTCGGCGGACGCTCTTTGATACCCAATGCTAATAATATCATGCTACAACACCAATTCGCCATCATAATTTTTTTACATGTATTTTAAAGGATTGGTATTGATGTGCGTTCAAACTCAATTTTTGTAAGCTGAATTTAATTCAGCCTTCGATCGGGTTGCCATGTTCTTTATTTCTAATACAATCAATCAATCAATTTTAAATCAATCAATCAATCAATCAAGCAATCATTATCTCTCTAGGCCACGTGAATCTAGCGAGGGGATTACAGACGAGCAAGAAGTTGATCGACGAGATCCTGGTCGACCCTGCGACTAGGACCGGCATCGTGGTCGTTCCCTGGCTCTACCAGGAGAAGATCAACAAGACAAACAATGCGGTCTACCAGGCGGCCAGGAAAATGACTGCCAAGTACCCGCACGTCAAGTTCTATTTCTTGACTCCAGAGAAAATCAATGAGACCGAGGACAGGTTCCTAATCGAGACAGGTGTTAGCTTGTAAGTCCGACTGAATTGATTCTCTATATTGCCCCTCAAAAGTTGGAATAATTCTTTTACCTCCTTTCATGATGTGATTGTGAGAATATAATTTATTCTTGATCAATTTTCGCAGGAGTGAAATGTCGGGGGGGGGGGGTGTGGCTTGAAGATTTGTTTAGGTGGAGGAGCGCTTGAGCCTCAAAGCCCCCCTTCAGAAACGCTGGAAATCATTTGCCTTATTATCCAAGTTTTAATTTAATTTAATTTTATGATAATGATAATATCAATGACAATGTCAAGAATGAAATTAATATTTAGCAAAATAAAGCATACAGTTTAAAAGATTATAAATATTGATTGTCTTTTCAACATTCGTTATAAAAATCTGACGATAAAAAACAGTGATTGTCCTCATATTCCTTTCATTACCTGGAGTGTGACCATGCGACAGAATATTCATCGTTGCATTCATGATCTTTACAAACGAAGTATAACAAATATTATTTCTCTGTTTTTTTTTTTTGGATTTCACAGAACTGATGCCAAGACATGGCTAAGTACTGGTTTCGTTGCCATGTTGTTCGCCCTGGATGTCTGCAACAGGATAGACGTGTACGGTCTGTCAAATGTCGAGTATTGCTCGTAAGTCAACAATACGAGGACACTTTTTTTTTTTTTCTGGTGTCGAAATTTGAAAATTTGAAAATTTGCTCCGTTGGGGGGGGGGTAAGGTTACCTTTTAAGGTCAGCCATTGGCTTTTTTTTTTATAATTTAAAAAATAAAAAAAAATTTAAAAAAATCGTCAAGGGGGGGGGGGTTGCTCCAAAATATACACATTAAAGACAATGAAGGTGTGGGGGGGGGGTCAACCCCCCCCCCTGCGTTCGCGCCTGCCTAGCTATATCTAAGGAGGGCAAATATGCTGATTATCGCATTGCTGAAAGATGACCCACCGCCACCCCCACCTTGGACAAAGGTAAAGGGAGAGGGGGGGGGTTGGAGATGGAAGTGACACGACCTTCCAGAGAGCCCCATCCTCTCCGCCTACAAAGGTCTCTGCATGGGTAGCTCTGCTCCCTCGAATTTCTGATAATGAAATACCACACCTTGATGTATAAAATGCAATAAGCAGGGGCGTCGCCAAAGGGGGATATTGTCGGTAAAATTGCGCTGCCGTCGGGAAAAGGGGAAAAGGGGGAGGGGAAAAAAGAGAGGGAAAAAAGGAGAGGGAAAAAAAAGAGAGGGAAAAAAGAGAGGGAAATGGAAAGAAAAGAAAAAAAGAAAAGGAAAAGAAAAGAAAGAAAGGAAAAGAAAGGAAAGAAAGGAAAAGAAAGGAAAGAAAAGAGAAGAAAGAAAGAGAAAAAAAAAAGAAAAAGAGGGAGGAGGGGAAAGAAAGGAAAAGAAAGAAAAAAGAGTGAAAGGGAAACAAAAGAAACGGGGGATAAAGGGGAGGAGAGAGAGAGGAGTGGGAGTAAAAGAGAGAAGGGGGTTGTTGGGTGGAGTCGTCTCGTCGAGGGAGCAAGAAAGACACGGGTAAATATGTGTCGGGTCAGCTGTGTCGGTATTCTTGCTAGATCCTCGTGTACTATATCAATGCGAGTCGGTGAGATGTATATTGTCGGTCGGCCGACAAGTTTTTTTCCCTACTACAACTACAATACTTGTATTTTCTCGAAGTTTCACTTTCCTATAATATCAGCTAAAGAAATCAGAGGTTTAAAATGTTCGGGGAAACTAAATTCAAACAAGGTTTAAGAGTCAACAACGGAACGACGAATCATCTTCCTTTCTTTATATTGTGATGAAACGCCAAAAATTCCGCGCTTCGCGCGGAAGGGGATACTTCATTTAGACGGGTCGAGATCGGTACAACGAATCGTCTTCTTTCTCTAATAATTTAAGGAAACGTCAAAGCTTTCGCGCGAGAGTGGGAAACTGAATTCAAACAAATAGGGCTTCATAAAGCCCCAGTCCCATATAAAGCCGGACCAGCACGGACGAGCACGGACCACTCCGGACCATCCCGGACCATGGTCTGGGGTGATCCGGGATGGTCCGGGATGTTTTGTTCAAAAAATCGCAACCGCCGACCGTCTCCCCGGACCCAACACGGTACCACTACGGACCGCCCCGGACCGTCCGGGCATAGCCCCGGCAGCAGTACAGATCATTCCAGACCCAGCACGGAGCCGCCAGGGACCGTCCCGGACCACCCCGGTGCCAACACGGTGCCAACACGGATGACACCGGACCATCCCGGTGCTAACACGGATCATCCCGGAACGCCCCGGTGCTGGTCCAGGGTGATCCGTGTCGCCGCCGTGCTGGGTCCGGGATCATCCGTAGGGGCGCCGGGGTGATCCGGGGTCAATATCTCACTCCCGGACTGCCACGGATCAACACGGACCGCCCCGGCGCCACTACGGATGACCCCGGACCCAGCACGGTGGCTACACGGATCACCCCGGATCAAACTATTGTCCCGGACCGTCCCGGACCACCCCGGCAGTTTTTGACCGTCAAAAACATCCGGGGTCGACTCCCGGACCGCCCAGGACCATCCAGGACCATCCAGGACCATCCAGGACCACCCCGGTGCCAACACGGTGTCAACACGGACCGAATCCCGGATCACCCCGGATGGGGTCCGGGATGGTCCGGGACGGTCCGGGACGTATATGGGACTGTAGCTTAAGACTCGAAAACGGTACAAGGAATCGTCTTCCTTTCTCTATATAAGGGAGTTTACAGATACAATCTGCGCATGGGCAGATAAAGGTCATTTGTACCAAAATGGTAAAACCCACATAGATGAATACTGGATATGCGCTCATGAAAGTTATGTAACATTATTCATTTATGCACCAACCGTACATTCTATGATAGCAGGTGGAAGTATTCTTTTCAAGAGGTCAAACAAAAGGTATTCATGAAGCACATCTAGGACTTTGGCAGTTATTATTCTAAGATTCTCAAAGTGGAACTTCTCCACGTGTAAAAGATCTGTGGATATTTGGGGTCATTTGTACCATGTGCTATCTGTAAACTCCCTTATTGTGATGAAACGCCAAAAATTGCGCACTTCGCGCGGAAGGGGAGGGGAACTGAATTCAGAAAAGGCTAAACAGTCGAGAACAGTACAGCAAATCGTCTTCTTTTTATAATAATTTAATGAAACGTCAAAGCTTTCGCGCTTCGCGCGGGAGGGGGGGGGGGGGTGGGGGGGACTTCATTCAGCCAAGGATTACCAGTCGAAAACGGTACAATTAATCGTCTTCTTTTCCTATTAATTTAAGGAAGCGTCTAAGCGGGAGGCCCATCACCCACCCCTCCTAATGCATGAGCGCGCTTTTAAGTGATTCTCTTGCTCACTACCGCCCCTCCCTAAAATAAGATCCTAGCTCCGCGCCTGCATTAAAATATATAGCTATGATGCTGACTAAATTGAAGAAATATTTCGTATATTTATTTCGTCGAGGAAAATGACCATTCAAGTACTATAAATAGTCCATAGAAAAAACAATTTAGCCTTCGGCCCCAGGTTTATAGGGTTGAATTTGTAGATATTTGACATTTAATTTTGTCGGTAATTGGTGGCTAGTTTTGTCGGTAATCGTTGGCCTCTACACCCCCCCTTCCCCCCCCCCCCCCCACTGAAAAAGGTCTAGCGACGCCCCTGGCAATAAGTACATGTAATTTAATATTTATATGTTTAAGAGATAATGGTAGAGAAACATATGCTATCATTTTTTATTATAATAGAGGTGGCCCGGGGACACATGTCCCAAATCGAAGTGTTAAAAATGACCACCCCCTCCCCCCCCCCCTCCTAATACGAACAGAGGGGGGGGGGGGAAGGATATTGTCACTCAGAGACATTTAATTGTTTGTATTTTCCGTCGATTCTTCCTTTAAAAAAATGAAATAATATTAATTCTAACACATTTTGCATCTTTCGTTGTTGTCCATGAACACAGGAGGCACCCAAACTCCTCTTCTTCATATCACTACTACGAACCAGGGGTTCAAAGAGAGTGTGAATACTACCAATGGAGCGAGACGCAGATGAACAAAGGACACAAATTCATGACGGAGAAGGCCGTCTTTGCCCGCTGGTCGCTCGGCTACAACATCCACTTCCATTACCCCTCCTGGCGAGCCACTATCCGAAACGTCACCGCCGAACTGGAGACACCGTTCCTGCAACTCTACAAAGAAGCCCTGAAGAGCGGCACACTGGAACATATACGCAAGGCAGCGCGGCACGTACGAGTCGTACGGCGCGTCAAAGTAATACGACGATACGCACGGGTACCGGTACCGCCGAACAACATGGGTGTCGGTCCTTACGTAATACCTATTGTTCAGGGTGGGATGAATATATAGATCATTCCCCCCCCCCCTGAACAATAGGTAATAATTACAGATCGACACCCATGGACATGATGACAAGGTGAAGAAAAACACGCGGCTACTAACTGCAAGAGGATTGCCAATGATTGGTCGGCTTCCTAATAAAAAGCCTAAAACATAGCGCTTAACAAAATAACATTTCGAAGTTATTTTACATTGCGTCCGAAAGTCGCCGTGGCGCCGCTGAAGCTGAACGAAAGTAAACCGTTGCAAGACGCCGACGTTGTCATCAAACTTTCAGGCAGCCACGACGAGACCAATAAAACTAAAGCTGTCATTCGTGAAGATAGTCCCGATGCGAAGAATTCTGTTGTAAATAATAATAAGAAACTTGCAGATGGGAATGGAACGAAAAAACAAGAAAAAGAAATTTCAAAAGACGCTGTACATCATGAAAAGGTGAAGAAAAACACGCGGCAACTAACTGCAAGAGGAATGCCAATGATTGGTCGGCTGCCTCATAAAAAGCCTAAAACATAGCGCTTAACAAATGGAACATTTCGACGTTATTTTACATTGCTCACACGTGGATGTCCTGTCAGCTGGATTCTGCTTTCTGCTGGTTTGAAGAATGTTTATTTATCTTCTGAAGATTATGATTCAAAGGAAAATGAAAACATACCATATTGCCTTAATTATCATTCAAGCCTCATCGTGCCCACACCGTCACATATTTATTTCCTCGTGTCAAATTTGATTGACGCAAGACGCTGGAGAGAGAAACATTCGAGAAATAATCTTAATATAATATATTTACCATTCGACGTTTATATTTATTTATAATGAAGCGGTTGGACTTCGGAAGGAATTCGATAAGGCCTTAATTATCAAAATCGTTTCGCCTCCTTGTGGAATGCTGGAGAATTGGACCATCCAATTCCAATGTTTGATTTCTGTTCCATTACTTTGATGTCTTCAAAATGTCTCCATCAGCGGCCATAATACCCATTGTCAGAGATGGCACAGAGGGTTCGATTGTGAAGAGATGAAGAGAGAGAGAGAGAGAGAGAGAGAGAGAGAGGAGAGAGAGAGAGAGAGAGAGAGAGAGAGAGAGAGAGAGAGAGAGGGAGAATGGGGAGGAGGAGGAGGAGGGGGGGGGGAGGGCCTGATCTTGAGTTTTATGTGTGCGGGTGTGTGTGTGGGAGAGAGAGAGAGAGAGAGAGAGAGAGAGAGAAGATGACGAGGAGACAAAGGGAGGGAGGAATAAGGAAGAGAGAGAAAAGAAGTTGTGTGTGTGTTCGTATAAGAGAGAGAGAGAGAGAGAGAGAGAGAGAGAGATAGACATAATTACATTATATAGTTTAAGTGAATGAAGTAGAAAGAGAGAGAAAGAGTGGAAGGTTACAAGAGAGGAGAAAGAAAATATAAAGCAGGTGGGAGAATGGGAGAGAGATAGAAACGGAAGAGGGAAAAGTACGTACTACAAAGAGCCATTGGGGGGGGGGGGGGGGGGAGAGAGAAAGCCCTGGTTGCCAAAAAGTGACAGAATTTTCCAACGGTGCTTAGTATATTGTGTGAATTTTGTTATTTATAATGTCTGTTTAGTTAATCTTATACGTATAGCATTGTATTACATTTTACAATAACATTGATCAATCACTGATATAATTATTGTAGTAAATAAATTGATTCTAACCATCTTTTCGCACGTTTATGTTTAATAGGCTTCCGGTCATGGCAGTGGATTATAAATACAAAAGTTTCTAAAATTGGAAGTCCTTTCTCTGGACTGCTTAAATAGAATGATATTTTTATCAACAGAATTGTTCAAATTTCACAAGGATGTGACTATTGCTCCTTCAAAACACCTTTTCTTTTGTGGATTCATTTTCCCTCGATATTTTTGCTGCGCCTTTAAATATATTTTGTCATTTTAATTCCAAGATCTTCGCGCATGCAAGCATTAGAAACCACAATGGTCATTAATGACTAATGAATATATTTTTGTCAACACGAACATATTTGTCCTTGATTGAGGGCCAGAGGGGGTGGTACAGTGTATCACTACATGGTTAAAGGAAACCAAAACCTTCATACTAAGTTACTTTTATTGTAAAGTTTAAAAGATTTGAATGTAATCAGTGAAAAATTGAACAAAATCGGGCAAGGAATAAGGAAGTAAGAGCTTTTTGAAATGACTAGTCACTAGAGGGCGGTATTCAATTTGATGACATCATCTGTGAACAACTCTCCATGCCTTTTGTACATAAAATTTCACAATTTTGTTTTGTTTTCTTCGTATTTATTTGTGTTCTTGATCCGACTTCATAACATGTGAAGTAGAATATCATTTTGCATTCTATATCTTGCTTTCGGGGGAGTACATTATCTCAATCACAAGAAAGAAGGAAAAACATAAAATTTGATGTACAAAAGGCATGGAGAGTTGTCCACAGATGATGTCATCAAATTGAATACCGCCCTCTAAAGACTAGTCATTTCAAAAAGCTCTTAGGCGTTGTGGCGTGCGCCTGTAATCCAGCTAAAAAGTGGAAGTTACAAACTGATTCAGCCGAGGACGCAGGTTCGAAACTGAGTCACGTCTTTCGGATGGTGACGTTTAAAGGTCGGTCCCAGACGTAAATAATCATATCTGATTGATACACGTCTGTAAAAACCCAATACACACACACACACACACACACACTCTTACTTCCTTATTCCTTGCCCGATTTTGTTCAAATTTTCACTGATATTTTTTAAATATCTTAAAATTTACAATAAAAGTAACTTAGTATGAAGGTTTTGGTTTCCTATGAGTAAACGCTCTTATGTCTCTCATCAGACGTACATTACACGTATCTTTATGTTATTTTTCATTTGGCAGGTCCAAGTGATTTAGTTTTTCTCTTAGACAGTCATAATGTATGGTAAATATTATTGGGTGCCAATAAATCATTTGCCTTTGCCCAATTTCCTCATTTAATTTGTATTATGCTCGTTGTACACGAGACGTTACTTCGATTGCATTACTATACCTGCGCGTAATAAGCCCGTGAATGAAACCATCCCATACTTTGACGCATTGCTTTGCGCTATTTTTACATTATTATCACTTCCACCTGGCGCGCGTCAAAGACCGCATTTTGTCTCCCTGGGGACTTTTAGATTTGCACAACGACAACGTGGATTGCTACGATCGACGTCCTTTTAATGCACTGCCTTGAATGGATGTCACACGTACCAGTCCACGCAAATATAGAAGTCCCTATACTGACGCAGGTCTGCGTCATGCAAAAGACGCCACGTGTGCAACGCACTTTTCAGTAATTACGGTTTTTTGGTGTGATTATTATTTTGAGGACAACTCAACGAGCCTTCCCTTTATGCATTCCAATTGCTCAAATACAATACATTATAATATATTGTGAGCGTTTTTGTTGTTGTTTATTTTGTTTATTTCATTTCAATTCAATTTTCAATTTCAATTCATATTTATTTCATTTCCAACAGAAAGATAAACAAAAGTATTATATATATATTATTTCATATTGATCCGATTACAAATCAGCATTGGCTAATAACTTTTGAAATGGTCGATTATTCTATTTATTCTTACACTGATCAGATTGCAATGAGTATTAGATCGTCGAAATATAAAATACCGTATATGACATCACAAACATAATTATTATTGTTTGTTCGTGTGTTTAAATAATACACCCAGGAGGTAGAACATGCACTTTACATAATTTAAACAGGAATGGAAATCCACTCTTTTCGGCGTCATATCACTTTACTTTAGAATGGAAATCCACACTCACAAGGCGAGATGGCTTAGTGGTAGAACACTGGTCTAGTAACTGGAAGAACCCGGGTTCGAAACCAATTTGATTCGCTATGATGCCCTTTGGTATGGCATTAATCCTAATTAATTCCCTCAGAGAGGATTTGAAGCAGTCTGTTCATACTGGCTACTTACTTACAGACCTTTACATGCTTTCTTAGCAATCATGTAAAATAAACCATCAAACCATCAAAATAGCGGAATCCGCTCTCAATAAGGGTAAATAAAACCACCCCTTACAGTGGATTGCACTATAATATCGAGAGTGGGTTCCATTATAATTTGGAATGCATTCAACTTCTATGACGAAGTGATTCTAACTTTGTGACTCCAACACTTTGAATGGATTTCTATTCTTTGGCATTAAGAGAATAGTATTTATATAGAATAGAATGATTACATAATTGCTCTGTCATGTCTGTTCCAGCAAAACATGACGTTAATAATCAAATACGCGGAAAACAATATTGTTTTCCTTGATTGTATTGTAAAGTGCATTGATTACAATAACGTATAAGTTACTAACGTCGATTTATGAAAGAAATATAATATAAATTAAATATTGTTGCTGCTGATGATAATGTTGTCGATTAAAGAACATAATATTTTATAGTATTTTCATGCCCCCTTTGCCATTTTGTTATGCGAAATCTGTTTATGTCAACATAAAAGAAGTAAGTTGATAGGAGGTAAAAGAGATAGTGTGCGTGCGGTATATGATCGAGCGAAAGAGAGAGAGAGAGAGAGAGAGAGAGAGAGAGAGAGAGAGAGAGAGAGAGAAGAGAGAGAGAGAGAGAGAGAGAGAGAGAGAAAGAAAGAGAGAGAAAGAGAAAGGGAAAGGAAGAGAGGGGTCGAGTAACGGCAGACGAAAGAGTTGAGAAAGAAAAAAGAAAAGAAAGAGAAGATAAATGTGTTGACAGAGAGAGAGAGAGAGTGAGAGAAAGGGAGGGGTCGAGTAATGGCAAACGAAAGACTTGAAAAAGAGAAAGAGAGTGAGAACGATAGAAAGAAAGTAAATATGACAGAAAGAGAGATAAAATGAATATGACATAAGGAGGGGAGAGAGAGAAAAGAGAGAGAGAGAGAGAGAGAGCGAGAGAGAGAGAGAGAGGAGAGAGATGGGAGATGAGGGAGAGGGGGGAGGGGGGAGGGGGAAGAGAAGACAAAATGTGGATTTAACAAAAAA